CGGAGGTGGGAGTTAAAGCTCCGTCTCACAAGGAGACTCTGCCAGATGTTCCCAGCAAACCCTCACAATACGTTTGGGCCTGCCAGGTCTGACTGGCATCCTCCCCCACCATCGAAGCCAACTCACCACCATGTAGTGATCAGTGGACAGCTCTGCCCCTCTCTTCACCTGAGTGTCCAAGACATGTGGCTGCAGATCAAATGAGACGATGACAAAGTTGATCATCAAACTGTGGCCTAGAGTGTCCTGGTGCACATATGGACACCTTTATGCTTGAACATGGTGTTCGTTATGGACAATCCATGACGAGCACAGAAGTCCATCAACAAATTATCCACTGTTTTTGGAGTCATTGGAGGGGGTACTGGAAAGAGCACCTCCTGGGGACTCCCTTGTTCTGCTGGGGGACTTCAATGTTCACGTGGACAATGACAGTGAGACCTGGAGGGGTGTGGTTGGGAGGAACGGCCCCCCTGATCTGAACCCGAGTGGTGGCAGACGAGTGTTTTGTGATATTTACAGAACTGTGGTGCCATTTAAAATGCTGTTTAAAAGTTACTGGCTCGTTCTGTGTGGGGACAGTGTGAAGAGAGGTAGCTGTGAGCTCAGTTGATCTGACAGTCAAGCTGGAATCAGATGAAACTTTACTTTCAGAGATGTTTCTGTTATATTTCAAAACATACCTCATCAAAAAACACACACATTCCCCTCAAGGAGCTGTTCCCTGGTGGAGGGGGCCAGCGGAGGAGCGGAATGTGAAGTCACTGCCGTAGCTGTGGAGCACCTCTGCTATTGTTGCTGGCCACGGCGGTCCCTCCAGCGGCCGGAGGGGCGGGAGGAAGACTGTGACATCACCAGATGGTGTACAATCTCTGAGACCTCTTTGGATCTCTGCGACTTCTCAAGGATTGTCCTTAAGTTGGCACCGAACAGCACCTCTGGGGTTATGGGGCCCTCCAGCAGGTCTTTCTGTAACCTCTTGGACAAGGATGGCAAGAGGCGGAGCCATGTGGTTTTCTGGATCATGGTCATCCAGGTGGCGATGTGGGACAGGCAGACTGCAGAGGTGGCACATGTTTAAGATGACATCAGCAGCTTTACAGAAAGCTGTTTGTCCCCTTCAGCAGGTTTGCTTCTTCCAGCCTCTTAGATATGCTGTAGGCCAACAGGGTGACATTGTTGTTCGCTGTGGCCGTCTGGAATGAGCACTGGTGAGCTCAGTTGGAGACCTTTGTCACAATCTGGTCATGCTTCCCTGGAGGGACAGGTTGCTGGTCCATCCTGGAAGCTTTTGCCCCAAGTGTCACCACCAGGCTTGGCTCCGGGGCGGGGGGGTGGGGGGGACCGAGGGAAAAACACCAATTGGTAAAACACTCCACTCTGGAGATGGAGGCGAAGGTGGATACAGATGTCTTCAGCTTGCCGGGCCCAGCTGCAGCCTCGTTCCAGTGTGACGTCACAGCTGGACAGTGAGGCCAGATGGGGTCAGGGCGATGAGCCAGAGCGGAGCCAACCTTGCCGCCAGATCATAGGGGCAGAGGGAGGCGACAGACGGAAAGTCCCTTGTGTTAACATCCTCCTGGATTATGCCGGCAGCTCCGAGAGGAGGGCGCCGACAGCTGGGAGCGGTGTGGTCGCCATCGTGGGAAGATCCGAGGTGGTTGAGCATCCTCTCGGCCACTCGTCTTCCATCACTACGCTCTCCAGAAGAGAGGAGGCAACTCCGCATCGCCTTTCTCGGAGGAATCATTCGATTCATTGCGTGATTTTGCGTCAAAGAAGGCAGTGGCGTTGTCCCGTGCATAGCAGAAAAAAACACTCAGCAGAGCTGCTGCCAACAACGCCTTTTTCGAGGGAATCATTTGATTCACTGTGAGAAAAAAACACATTAGAAAAGGCGGTGGCGTTGTCTAGCGAGTAGCGGCCCTCCACGGAAAAACATTCAGAAGGGCTGCTACTAACATAGCCTTTTTCAAGGAAATCATTCGATTACCGCGAGGAAAAAAAACATTAGAAAAAGTGATGGCATCGTCCAGCGGGTGGTAGCCCGCCACGGAAAAGCGCTCCTCGGTGCTTACCTTGAACAAGGCTGCTAATTTCTGCATCTTCTCGGGGAGGAAGAGCTCAGCGGGACGGCAGGAGGTTGACGTGGCGGAGACCCAGGCATCCTTAGCAAAGGTTGTGCCAGTCAAAGCTGGACAACTTTTCCTTCTTCGTTCTTCTGACAGTGCTAGCTAGCTGGCTGAAGAAAAAATGGGAGCCGATTATCCGGTAATTTATACGAACCTGTGGTGAGGCCCACACAGTAGGTGGGCATGGACTAATTTTTCAGTGCTGCGCTGCGCCAAAGGGATAAACCCACTAGCGATAGCCTTAAAGAGCGAAGCCTATATGAAATAGAACCCTGGACTTCTATTGTCCAATACTGCTGACATTTCATACTCTCAATCACCTTACCTCTTAACTACCTCACTAATATCCATATTGTGCAATATTCAAATTTATACAATTGTGAAATAACTTGTTTTTTTTACTTTCATAGTGATAGTATAAGACTAAATATACAGTGCTATGTATATATATATGGATATATATATATAT